TGCAATCTGTCCAACAATTCTAGTCAAAATTTTGTGAGGAGCTTCCCAGTTTAGAGATGAACACATTTATATATAGAAATCCAGGATCAAAAGCCAATTCAAGGCGCAAAATTTCAATGAGAAGTTGTCTAAAATTATGAAACCATATTTCTTAAAATAGTAAAAAATAAAAGGGCCATATCTCTCAAATTTGCTATCATCTTGAGCCGAATTTTTGTCAATCATTGGTCTCAAGGTCTTCCACAATAATCTACTGGCCTATTGCCAAATCGGGGTCAAATATGAGCACAATGATGAGATGTACAATTGGAAATACAATATGGAAAATTGAAACTCAACATGAGGGAAACTTGGCGAATTGTGGACACTTTTGGCTCAAATTTGTTTAAAATGATAATGATCAATTGCTTTATAATTTTACAGAAGAAATTTGTGTCGAAATAGTACAAAACGATATGATTTGATAGGTTTATGTGGTAAAAAAAAGCCTCATCAAAGACAAATTATTGACAATTCCAAAGTTTAAACGTCTTTTTTAGTCATTTGCACATCTCGCTTAAATTTACTTTTAATAATGCACCTCTTTTTTAGTATGCTTTTGATTTTTTATCCACCAGCTTTTAATATTCCACCAACTTAAACCTCATTTTTAATAGTTGGAAAATTAAGCTTTAATCTTGAGAGAGAAATACTTGCCTTAGAGAGAGAAAACTTAAACTTCTCAAAGTGCCCCTGCCTCTATTCCATAATCTCCAAATTACCTCTCAACTTTACCAAAATACTCAAAATACCCTTGAAGATTAAAAAATCCCAAAAAAAATATTGAAAATTCCCAAAAACTTCTCCAAAACCCTAAAGCACCAAAGTTACCCAATTTACCCCTACAAATTCCCTAATACCCCCAAAGGGAGGTCAACTTGGATTGGGTTGCCCCGCTCTAATGAGATTAGCTTGGGTCCGCATCTAGGGACACTTTTATAGTGTGGATTTGCCAAGAGAGTGACTAAGAGTTGTTGACATCCCTCCGGCCCTGCCTAGCTCGTTTCGAGTCATTTGGGATCCCGCATCCAAGCGTACTTTAGCAGTATCGAATCCTCATATCAGATCTGCCAGTTGACCGATACTGAGTGGGCAGGCCTCCATCCTATGTATTTCGGATCGGATTGGCTCCACCCTTTCGGATCGTATGGGTCCTAGCGCCGAGGCACACTTAATGTATCGAATATTTGACTAAATTTGCCAAGGGACTGTTGAGGGTTGCACAGCCCGGTAATCGGATCAACTCAAACTCAAATAGAGCGGAACACCCCAACCAAACCCCTCCCCCCACAAAGTACCCATTTGGCAGAAATTTTCTAAATTGTCCCTCTAAATAAGATGAAAGGATACCTTTAACTGATTGTATAATATGAGATCATTTAGTTTTAGAACAAGGTGGCCTTTGGATGTGAAATCCAATCTATCATAGTGTTTGCTTTTGCACCGAATCAATTACACATTCCTCAATCATCTAATTTCACATCTAATGGTCACATTTCCTACCTTTGAAAGAGTGAAATTGGCATTTTCATCCCCTTAATTTATTGGAAATTGCTAGGTGGAAAAAATAATTTACAGTGAATTTTTTATTGATGATTTTATTTTCTTTTCATATTTATAAAGCTATTTGATTGTCAACATTTTTAATTCCATTGAGTAAAAACAAAAACTAATTCACCAAAAAAAATTAATGGAAAATATACAGTAGAAATATGGAGTAATGAAATCGGCTCAATTTCTTATTTTCTCGATAAACATACTTTAGAAAAGAAGAGCAGTGAATGTCTAGTAATTCAAACTGAAATTTGACTGGATTTTTATTTCATTCTTACTTTTCAGTACATTTAATAAGAGAAAGGCAATACTCGCTTTATCAATAAACTTTCACATACAAATTACATATGAACACCTATTAGTTATTACAAACCAACAAACATATTACAAGTACAACACAATCCATCTTCTACTCCCATAGGAGAGGCCTTCCTAATTTTCATGTGATCATAGAAGATCCATGCTACATAGTTCTTCTCATCATGGTCCGATCAATGGTCGAACGGCAGAGAGAGTACGGGAACCACCAGAACATGTCATGTTCCAAGTAGCCGGTCCAACTCTCTCCACATCCCCGTCGATCAGTTGATCCGACATTTATAAAAACTCTGTATTCTATGTTCATGTGGATCATAGTATATTCTCCCAAATCTGTACACCAAGAAGGTAGAAAGCATCACCTGAGATATCTTAGTGTTGTGCACCTTTTTCATAACAACCAAGCCAACATGTAAATCAATAATAACCCTCATGTACCCTCTGTGCAGTAGCTAGGAAGCCAAGACCTCAAAGCAGTGGCCCTTACGATCATAAGTCGTCAAAACCAAGTGTGGCTCAGACCCGTCCGAGTTACTGCTAGTCGGCCCATATGTAGGATTAGAATCCAAGACCATAGATTTGCAGGCCTTATGCCATAACCAAATTAGCTAACAAAAGTTCACTTTGTGGGGTTGCTGGAAGTGTTTACAGGCCGCGACCATGACCTCCTCCGGCGACTTGAAGGATGTTGGGGGACTGGCCTCATTCTTGCACGCCTTCGAGAAGGTCTTTCGCACCCATGCGAAAAATAACGCATACCACTTTCGCTCAGCGAAACCCATCTGTGTGTGTGTGTGTGAAGTGGGCACTTTGGTCTGTGTGTGTGTGGAGTCTTAAAAAGGCAATGAATTAGTTGTTGCACTAATGTATAGGGGTGATAGTAGAGGGGGTTATAGCAAAGATTTGAAGAGAGAGGGGAGTGTTTTGGTGATTAGAGCTGAAGAAGCTATTATATCTTGGAATGTCTTAGCCTTTGAATTTCTGAGGTAAGGGATATATGTGATTTCTTGCAGATTTATACACATGCGATTACTTGCAGAGCACGTATAAAAAAAAATGGGATTCATCTTCAGGACCAAGAATGTAAAAAGTCAGCAAACTCACTCTCTCTCTAAAAAAATCTCAGGAGGAGCCCAAATATCTCTCTCTCTCTCTCTGAAACTGAGATTTCCATCAAACTGTGGTTCTTTCTTGGAGGGTTCGTATTCATTAGAAATGTAAAATCAGTGAAAATATTATAGGATCAATATGGTCAGCATATACCATCATGGACGTGTGGACCATCAAACTATTGGTGATGAGGGAGTAAATAAAATGTGAAGTTTGAAAACAAAGAGAGTAAATCTTGGTTTTTCATTTTAAACTTGGGAGAAGTCACGGTATTAGGTGAGGGTATTTGGTAGGAGGAAAGGGCATAGTACTTTACCGGTCAAGTACATGCAGCAGCGTGGAAACTTCTAAAAGAGTATGGGGAAGGGAATATATTCATTTATTTACCCCCGAGAGAGTATTTCTTTTCTTTTATCTCGGTAAAGTGGTAAACCCTCGGGGTTTTTGTGCATTGGTCTTGCTACCGAAACACTCAGGAGCAAGATCTAGTCAAAATTGATAGGATTATTATTAAGATCTAGTCAAAATTGATATGAGTATTAGTTTAACGTATACAATTTTAAATATACAAAAAAAAAAAATGAAGAGTAATTTTAAAATGTGAAATATATTATAAAAAGGGTGTGGTTTCTATAAGGTTGTAACCTTAAACGATCCAAGGCACACCTTCAAATTTTATCAAAATATGTAATTTTGGTGTTAAATTTTTAGGACTACCTAAAAATCCATTTTCATATCTAATTAAGAAATTTTAAACGGTAAAAATGGTGAAAACAAAGTAGATCTATAAACATATGAAAATCTTAAAAATGGATGATCTAGATAATATGTTGCAAGATGTACTATTTTTGGGGCTCAAAACCTTCTTTTTTTTCACATTTATATATCTCAATGTCGAGATGATCAATTAGAGTGGTTTCTTAACATTAAAACAACCTTTTCTGATGGAGTTTTTCAGGTGCATATGTAATTCAACATTTTGAGGTTGCAACCTTATATAAACTAGTTCTTTATTATAAAAAAGAGATATGAAACATATGGAAATTGCAATCTTAAAATGTAAAATTACATATGCACCTCAAAAATTCATTAAAAAGAAGTTGTTTTAATTTTGAAAAACCCTCTAATTGATCATCTCGACATCTAGATGTACAAATATGGAAAAAAAAAAAACATGATTTTGAGTCCCAGAAATAATGCATCTTGCAACACAATATCTAGACCGTCCGTTTTTTAGATTTTCATATGTTTATAGATCTACTTAATATCAACCATTTTGAAGTTTAAAATTTTATAATTAGTGACGAAAATATATTTTAAGATAATCCTAAAGAATCTTTACATCAAATTTACATATTATAATAGAATTTGAAGGTGCGCCTTGGATTGTTTAAGGTGCAACCTTATAGAAACCACACCCAAAACATATTATAAGAAAACAGTTGACACGAATGTTTGGACACGCTAGCTACTCAGATTGGGTCGTGAGACCAACCAAAATTGGTCATAGGATTTTGACAGCTTTCTACCAGACTTGTTTTTTAAATCCTAGAGAAAAAAATGAAATGCTTGGCATCCATTTTACATGTTTTGAAAGTGTTTTAAAAATTAACCACGCTGAATCAAGACCCTCCATCATCAGCCCGATCATCCAATAGACCATTCAAGACCTCATAGCCCCGGAATCACTCAAGTTTCCTTTTACATAATTTTTAAATTACTCTTCTTAAAAATTGCAGTCCAATTCGCACTTGCCAAGCAGGGTCTAGGGGGACTCAGGCTCGACCCCCTGGCAAGTCGGAGCTTGAGCCAGGACTTTTAAACACTGCTGTTGAAGAACATTCAAGTTCTCTCCTTATTTGTGAGATGAGTTTCAAATTAGATAAGCCACAACAAAGGCTCCTTTTTCTTAAAGGGAAACAAAAGCTCATAAACGTACAGCTGTAAAAACAGGATCAAGAGTTCCAACAAAATCCCCAAAAAAAAAAACATCCATACTGCATGATTGGACATCACATTCATCAAAACCAATTCCTTTCACTGTTAAATTACAAGGCCTCGACCCCAAAAACCCCCCTGCAGATGCTCTACAAACCTGAAATATGTAGAGATAATATAAACTACAATAATTCACAATCCAAAACAATAAAAAAAAAATACAGTCCTACCTCGCATCTAAGCATTATCAGATTAGCTCTCCCCAAAAATAACTCTTACGAGTTCATCCCGGCTTCAAATTCTATGCAGGCAGCACTAGCACCAACAAAAGAGTATCTCATCCATGCATGTCCCAAGGTAACATAGAATGCCATCCTTTTGGAAGCTTTCCAATTGACTCATTGCTGATCCTAAGCACTAAGTGGTCACAAATTTGTATCCAAGGCATTTAACCATGGATTAGATATTCCTTGGTAAATTTCCCAAAAGAATAAATAATGGGTTGTATCCAATTTCCCCAATATTATTGTGCATGGATCCTTGTGCACGGATTCAATTAACATTGGTCACTCCCTCAAAAAAGAAAATCGGTTTTCTTCTAGCTATGCTATCTATCCCCACCCTCCAGCTCCTCTTGATCCAATATTTGAACCTCTTCTTTGCCATTCGCATAGGCCCCACCACCCCGGCCTTGTTGAAAGAATTTCCCTGCAATTGCATCAGCTTCATCTAAGTCCTCTTCTTCTTGCTTATCTTTATTAGGCTGAGACATAAATGTCCTAGTCTCCATCCAAGCTGGGCATTGGTAATCGACCCTGAGGGTTATGTTCTCTTTTGAGGCTATTGAATGAGGTGGGGTGTGTTTTGTGCTCATGTTCCCTAAACATGAGCATTCAGGCACTGGGTGTGAGAGAAAAGAGAGTGGCTTCGCGGTCAAGGATGCTTTTTCTAGGCCCTCGATCACTGACTTGGTGAGGTGCCGCCTTACTGATGTCAACCAGGTGCTGTTGGCTTGGTACAAGTGTTCACGGATATCCTCCAAGAGTTTTGTAACTAATTTTCTGTCAAAATCAATAGGCAATTAGAAAATTTAAAAATAATAAGAATAATAAGAGATGGCAGTTAAGGTTGAGAACTTCTGTAAGGAAGTTGATAGATAGAATTTAAGCAATGTATATTATAATCCAATTGACTCTAGAAAATAACAGTACATAGGGTTCATCTTTCATCTAATCAAACGATGGACAGGAGAGCATGTGTGGGCCACCATAGGTACAACGTCTCTTTTGTAGGTCTACTCTTTCCATCAATGTTCAACATTTTGCTGGAGCTGATGCCTCTCACGCACTACTGTTGTTCATGGCCCATTGGATTGTAGGATACTCACCTAGACTTTTTTTTTTTTAAGTTAATAGTGTTTCACTTCATTCCCTTGGTTGTTTTGATGCAGGTGAGCATAGATTTAAAGCCACAGCTCAGAAAATGGCTTGAAGAACTCAATAACACAAGCATAAGATCAGAACCCAGACATAAGACCAGAACCCAGACAATATTACCAAGCATGTCACTCTAGGTGAGCCAAGAAATATCCCATGTTAAGAACAACTACCTCCTTCACCTGGATGGACCAAGAGCCAGATCAAGCTAATAACCCCTTGAGGTTTAAGGTCATGGTACACTCCCCAACTTAGTGTTTTGGAGCTCTTTTTTCACACCCTAAGGTGTGGGTTCAAATTACATGCTTAAGGTAACAAAATTAGAACCCTTCCTCAATCTCTCATCAACCACCTTTACAAGACCCTTTTTTCCTCTCATGGGGAAGGAGCTCCCTCTATTGCCATTTTCCCCTCAATACTCCCAATTTTCCTCCACTTTCATCTCTAATGTTTCAGGTTTCATTCTTTAGATTTCCTCCACTCTTTTGTCCTTTATTCATTTCTAGATCCTCCTCCTTGTCCTTCTCTTTCGGATTCTTCTTGTTTACATATTATGCATTTTTATTATATTAATTCCTTGTCAATTACTTTTCCTTTTGTGAGTGTGAGAGCGCGAAAAAGAAATAGAGAGCAATGCCAAAGAATACATACCGGTTAGGACGGAATGTCTTAGAAGCAGGGGATTGATAAAGCCTATGACCCATCACCAAGCTTGCAAAATTTGGATGACCCATTCCATCACGATCGAATCCAGGAATAAAAGCATCAGCTTCCACAGAGACTATGTAATCAATTGCTTCCCAAAGTAACCTGTGGGCTTGGGTTCTGAACTCTTCAATTGTTAACTGTGGCTCTTTATCCATTTCCCCAACCCAACCCCACCATCCCTCAACATTGTATGGATACTTGGGCCTTGCTGGAGGTGGAGGGAGTGGACGAGGTCTTGGACCAGCTATCTTCCATGGCTTAACCTTTGTATCTTGTCTAATGATAGATGACAAATGAGAAGGACCAACTTGGTTATCTTCGTGGCCATAAATTTTGGAAAGCTCCTTAGGAGTGCAGAGAGATGTCCTATCAACCACATTATCAAACATCGCATGTAGAGGTATCATGGTCCTTTGCCCTCCAAATAATTCTCCACCAGAAACATATATAATTGTGTCGGATGGGTAGCCATATGCACGGAGAAGAATGCCGACCTACAAATAGTTCTCTAAATCATAAGCCCAAATTATGCCTCTTGAACATAATCAGTGGTACTCATACCATCATTTAAACAAAATCAGGGAAACCATATTACAAACCGAAGGAGTACAAAAAATCAGGCTATTGGATAATTAGGTGTCCTTGATATGATGAAGAGAGTGGAACCCACCAAAATAGGGTATGATCCCAATGGCGGGCCAGGTCTCCATAACTGTCCCTTACAATGGATTGTGATGAAGCCATTGCTTGGTTTCTCAATAATCCATTCGATAGTAGCATACTTTCACTAAAATTATTTTCAATGTTCAATTCATTCTAAAATTCATCTCCTTACCTCCTCAGGCATGAGTGGACAAGACCCCTTAAGACGTTGCAGCATGGAATCCACAGATAGCTTCCCGTTAATGATATGGTGCTTGATCATCCATAGGCGTCTATGTTGTGTAAGCTCCGAATGAACATCCTATGATGAATATGAGAATTTTGGATAGAGCACGATGGAACATGCGATGAAATTTTCAGTGATGCCTTGTCAATGCAGAATAACATTAAAGCAAACTATACCACATACTGTGTCAAAACCGAGTCAATTCGGCTCATTACCATCCAATGAATTGGATAGTGACAGGGGAGAGAGCCACACCCAAAAAGGATAAGAGCCAATAATTACTCTATCTCTCTCTCTCATTTCAGTGGAAAGTGATGGTCCAATGCAATATATTTTATTTAATCCATGGAGCTATCTCTCTGACCATCATTTCAGTGAACAGCGATGATCCTCATGGACTATAGTTTTTACTCAATCCCAGGGACAAGCTTTAATTTCTCATGTTTGCAATGAATAAATATCACACCTGGAAGCATTCGGCACAACCATGATAGGCAAGAGCATCTTTAGTCATTCCTGGATCATAAGCTAGAAAAGGCCGACCAGAAGCCTGTAACCTGGATAGTTTTAAATGAGAAAATGATTATATGAAAAGCTCAGAAGTGGAGTAGCTATGAGAGAGAATCCAGGCCCCTCTTACCGACGCACTATTCTGTTGCCAAGTTCTTGCACCTCTCGACGGAATCTAAGGGCATGGAAAGACACCCTGCATCTAAGCCTCTGGAGTTCTTCAAGATATGAGGGCAAAAGAGCCTGAAACATGTAAAGAATCTAATATATCAGACAAACATCTTCTCTGACACAAAAATATAGCATCTTATCAAGATTTTTAAGGACAGTATTTGGAAGCAGTTGGCCAGAGAAATGATGTGTGGAGAAACAGTAGGAAAGAAAAAATTAATGAGTATGACACCCCAAACCAGATCATTTTATTGAACATAAAATAGCTTAAGAAAATATATGAATTATATTTCTTAACTATAAACCAAAAGACCTATATTTGTTAATCTAAATAAAAGCATTCAGTGGATATACACTCAATAGCATGCTAGATATACAACATGAAAACTGTAGGATAGAATCTAAGCCCATGGATAATATCAACAAGACCAATAGCCAGTACTAATCTCAAGTATACTTGCTGGAACCTTGGGATTAAGGCCACGGTCCCACCTTACGAACTCGATCCCGAGGTTCCTCGGAGGGATCTTAGAGGGAGCTGGGTTTAGAGAAATATGGATCTCACTCCCAATAAAATGGGATCTCGGTCTACATGTTTGTAGGATCCCTCCAAAGAGAGGAGATATACTATTAATGAATTACTGGTCCTCTCCTTGGTATTATAGATTTATTTCTTTAGAATATGTTAAACTATGTGCATATCATATTGTGGTATAGTATACTTATGGTATTAAAAAACTATATATTAATATCATAGTAAGCCAATTTATGATATTATTAAACTATGTGATATTATTAAACTATGTTATTGTAGTAAATTGGAGTACTATAACTACGGCATTAGCAATAAGCTAAGGTGTATGATAAGGGATGAAGCAAGCATTAACTTGATCCTAATTTTATCGTACACTATTAATTGATCTCGTTTTATGTATAGTGGAGCTTAGATCCCTCCGTTAAAACCTCGCTCCCAGTGACAGGGAATCTCACTCCCAAGTATCCTAGGATCTAGCTCCTTAACATGTTGAATGTACGGATGTCGATCCTAACCCTAGGGAGCTTCCACCCTCTTCCCCGAACCGATCCCGCTCCTGCCTCCAATAACTATGATCTCAAGTGATTATATGCCCAATATGTCCAACCCACGATATACTAGATTTCTTTGATGTAAAGATACACCAAATTAATGCATAGCTGTTAAGAATTTGATGACAAACTTGAACAATAAACACCATAGCATCAGGATAAGTAAGAAAACTTCGAGATAAGTTATGCTTCGAGTGGTAAACAGAAGAACCAGAGAATTCAGCTAATATTCGTTTATAGCCTTGAGAGTAGAGCACCAAATGGAAGTAACATAGCGGGAAATGGAAGCAACATAGCGGGACCGAAGCATTTTTCTAATTGGATATTTTTCTCATTTGATGTACTTGGGAGTAGTATGGATATTGACAGCAATCACACACATTGATGATATTCAGATAGAAAAAATCAAAGGCATACAAGTTATTGCAAGAGTGGATTTGATGTAGTTAACTTGATCAAGGGAGTAAAAGTCTCATCATAATCATCCAAGAGCTTTATTATAGCCTTTACCAACAAGATGAGTGTTGTGCCAATCAAAGCACCATATGACAGGTGTTTGTTTCAGTGTCAAAAACTTGGGCGAGCCAACTCTGACTCACCCGAGTAACTCAGACTTGCCACCCTTTCAAGGCCTAGTATCTCCACGTTGGGTGGTCAACTTGAGGATCTTAAAAAAAATTCAAAAAAAAATAAAATTCCAAAAAGAATAAGAAATGTATTTGTAATATGCTTTTTATGTTTTCTATCATTTTCAGAAAGATTGGAAAGTGTTTGGCCATGAGTACTTATTTTTACATTTTTCCTTTTTTTTGGATTATTTCTAAGATACCCCCTGTCCTAAGTTGATTTTTGCAAAATCCATATTTTCACCACTTCGTGTTTTTTTGTTTTTTGTAACACTTTTGGGCTTGGCCAGGACCCTACCCAACTCGGGCCCGGCTTCATGGTTTTTTATTTTGAACACTAGTTTGATTCATATACCAAGGAGGAGGAACATAAGTCTAAGTACTATTCCTGAGCACAACATCATATCTGCATTGCAAAATTCATGCCAAACTGATGATGACATGCATCCAAGTAGGATTCAGGTTTCCATACTTTTACAAATAATGGATAAAAATGTAAGGTCCTCTAGAACCCCTCGTTTATGAAACTAGGAAGCCCAAATATCAAGATTCTACTCAAGACCATATATATTGTTAGCCAAATGCGAATAGATGTATACAACCACAAAACACATGCAAAAAATAAAACAAAAACCGGTACCACATCACAATAACACAATTATTTACACGGTTCACCCTGTAGGGCTACATCCATGGCTTCGGCAAGTAGAAATTAATGGAGCCCAGAATACAACTCTCGAGTATCTAAACATGAGAGATAAGCTTAAAGTTTACAGGAGGAACCAAAAAAAGGCAAATTAGTCATTGAGTCTATCCTTTTATGTCTTTTATTTATTTCTTGAGTCTTTTCATTTACTTAGAGGCATAAGTAGTAATTTCTAGTGTTTATTTACTTGGCAAACCCTTCTTCTTTATTGGCCCGGTTCTTTAAACATAGATACTTTCGAAATTTTTCTATATGGGTGGTTGAAGCTAGAAGAGGGTGTTCTCATGCCTGGAAAGGTATTGTACTGAGTTTAACACATCTAAAGGGGAATGTTCAGTAGTCTATTGCTAATGGTCAGATGGTGGATTTCTTGGGCCCAAAGGATGTCCCTACACCCTTGACACCATTCCAACATCTTTGACAGGAGCTTCTATATCTGCATGTCTTTTTATGTAGACTTTCGAGGAGGTCAATACAGTGGCAGATGCTCTACCCAAAGAGGGAGCTGCTGCTACCGTTGTCCCACCATTTCAATAAAAGCTGGACAACCACTACTTTATTTTTTCGGATACTGGCCTCAGTTTTCTTTTT